TTCTCTTGGCACCGAATTCTGACCCGTGGCTTCAATAGATGAAGCCAGTATATGCAGATAGGATGCAATACGGTTCATTACTTTGAGAATTCGAAAAAATCACCAGCTGCTCATTTTCAAACCAAACTACTGACATAGGATTGTCGAAAGTGCAACTTCGATTGTTAAATTTCATTGAACGAATCGTTAACAATCGGGAAACTGTGCTATATTGAAGAGTAATGTGGGATCTATCACGTATAACGCCTTCAAACAGTGCTATTGTTACTGCTTTATTTTGCTCTCACCATCAATGGAAGCCACTTGCCAGATTGTAGTCACAGAAATTAAAGGACGAATTCACGATGAAAAAGCAACCCATTTCAAATTAACCTAGGGATGGTGAGTGGTACACGAAAGAAGGAAGAACCATGAGAAACGGCCCAGAACCCGAGAAATGGGACCCCTTCCTTGCCCGTTGATTTGAGCATTGATGCGACTCTCATCGCTGTGCCCTCTTCAACACTACGCTCTCTCAGCTATCTAATCACTCGCCACGTATAGACCTGCGGCGAGTGATCAGATGATCGGTGGGCGTACACCGCCAACCGCGCCAAGATTGAGCCATGATAGGTCGCCGAGGTCAAATTTTCGGTGCCAATTGCGCGTCAGTTCGCACCCTCAGGAGGTCCGTGGGTCCCTCAACTAGGTGAATTACTCCTTCTTCGACCTTCATTCTAATCGTGAATTCCTCCTTTAAGTCGAAGCTATCCCTCCCCCTCCCCCCTATTTTACCTTGCTTCGTCTATGTGACTGAACAAACTTTCAAACAATCCCTTTGCAGTACCGGGTATATTGCAACATGAAACTGCTAGTGATGTGCTGGGTGTCACCGTGAATGGCCGACAGCCACCGCGAGAAGGCCATCGCGAGGCAACGAAGAGAGGGCTGGACGACCTCATGGACTTCGTGAGTCTCCCCTTCACCATTGCCTCTATGAATTTTTCCTGTTAATGCAGCTATTTTAGTTGAATTTCGTGCATGCAAAATTGACAGTCTACGGTGCCGATCAGGTGTTACTTGGCCAAGTCTTTGGTCAAATCGCAAGCTGGATATGTGCCTTATCCCTAAACCACTTGATGTTCAGGAAGGAACTCTGTAATTTTGAAAAGGCCGTGCAAATAAAGTGGGTATCCAGCTCTTCATTGTCACATAATTCTATTGAGTGTCTCTCTTTTCAGACACAATGTAACAGAGATCCAAACGTGGTTGTTTTCGAAGGGCCTTGGAGCACACCGTGAAGTCCTTGATCCACTCGTTCAAGCCTGCCATCTGCTGCAGGTGAGATTCCAGCTTATTGCGGGCTGAACTTCAGAAGTCAGCGTTAACTGTGTATAGCATACATTATATTGATTGACGGCGAAATGCGAAATTGAACTTCATTTTTTATGACTAGAATTATTATGTGCTGAAGTGATTTGTACATTTTTATGCCAGTATCACGTATTCGAATAAAATGTGCTGTATTGCAGAGCCGTAAAGATGAGTCGAATATCGATACGTTGTGTGGAGAGATGACAAGCAAACTCAAACCTCGACAGGTAGGGCTATATTTCTCTCACTTTTACATCAAGTCTTTCGAAATTTGAAAATACTTGTTTTTGCGTGCCCTTTTTGTGAGCCCCATTTATCGCTTCCTTCGAATTGTCTTCCTACCACCTATCTTTCTACTTCGTGCATCTGGTAATTACCATAATGCTTTTAGTGATGAGCTGATTGCTACACTGCCCAAAATAAGTTTCGCTTTGGGTACTGAATTACGTGTGAAGGAAGTTATTATATTAACTCATAAGTCTTTCGAATTTGAAGCTTGATATTTATTACCACACCATCAAAACAACAATAGCGAATTATTGGTAGTGCGTTCTATAATATGTACTAACATCACCAGCATGTGGGTGAAAAGGATGTCGCGCACCGTTACAACCAAGATCAACCTTAGCATGGGTAGTTTTTGGAATTTTCACCACCCTTCCTCTTTTAAGGAAGTCATGATATGCCCCTCACCAATATCATCAGCCTGAGGGTGTCCACACACCACTACCCCTCCCCCACCACCATCACCATCAAGGCCGTTTCCATAGTTGCTGTATTTATTTCTTGAGACCAGTCTTTATGCTCCAACTGCGCCCGCCCACTCCCCCCTCCCCGCAAAGCGCCCATGGAGCGGCCAGGGGTGGGATGAAGGAAAGGGGAGGTGAACACGTCAGAAGGAGCGGCAAATCTTCTAACTTCCTGTATTTTACACTACTCCCAAATATGACCCCGCCCCTCCCCCCTCGTTGGTACTTTAACGGACGGTTGACCCTGTTACAACTGTCCCCGACCACTCCACGGGCTGGTGTGGTGACAGTTTTAAGGAGACCGATTGGTAAAGTAACAACAAAACGCATGCTATGTAATGGGGCTTGATGTTTCTTTACCTCTTCAGTCTAGTCGTATAACTGTGGATCACCTTATCGCCCTGATCTTCCACTGAAAACATAAATGCGGATTAGCGCCAGAATTTTGTGGACACCTTACTGTTGAAAGGCGACATTGCTTGCGTTAATCTTCTCAAATCAACATGTTTCTTTTTCGCGGCATCTCACATACTTGTATGCTTTTGTGGGACGGGTTTGAACATTTTTTTCTAGTATGCAGTATTTCGTAATCGTTTTTTTTTCTGGAAACTTAAAGTTTAAGAGAATGTCGAAGCAAGCTGAATGATTGAGAGTAAAACCTACAGTACTAGTTGGTTTCTAAGCTTACTGGTTTAAGACTCTAAGGGAAAATCTCCAGAAATATTATTTTTTCAAAAACCAGAAATTGTTTGCAAAACGTGGGAGGTAGTCAAAAATATGGTACTATTCGGAATGCACCGCCTACCATGTCTTCCGCTTGTGGCCATCATGCCCTTGTCATCATCAGAGTACCGGCATGTTTCAATCGAAGTTAAGCCTTCAGGAATTTGAATTCAGGTGGTCGCTATTCTTCAACACTACGCCCCATCTGATGACTTCGAAGAGAGGGATGTTGACGCGGATCTGCTTGTAATGGTTCAAAGACGTCTAAATGAACGAGCCGCTGCCAACGGTGAAACCGCTGAAG